CCTCCCGCCTTACCTCGTATCCCTGCACGTGGAACTCGCACACACACCAACCCTCTCATATTCACCCTAGCCTCCTCCCCATGTCTCGAATCCCACACTCAAAAAAATATGCCCATGCATTGCCAACTCTCCTCCCATCCCCTGTCTTCTCTGCAGTGTATCCCCCTTCCGAGCCCTTTCCATATCCTGCGTATCTGCGGCAAATACCAGCAGCACAGTCCTCCCCCTTTCTGCCCATCACGCTCTCCCCCCTCTCTCCTACGTGGCCACACCACGTCACTACTAATCCACCCTACCAGCCTCCTCCCTCTGCCTCCATTCCCTGCGTCCGGAATCCGCATACAATGCTCCCCTCCATTACCATCCCATCTACGGCATCAAGCGTTTTATGCCGGAGTGAAGTAAGGGCACCCGAAAAAATCAGGCGCAGATCGTGTAGGGGCCCGGCTGAGCCGTGTTTTAGTAACTACATATTGCGACAACTCTGTTCTGTGCGTGTATGCTTGTGTGTGTGTGTGTGTGTTCGCGTGTCCTGATACCACTATTCGGTATCCACGCAAGCTTTGATGTGAAATTTTGTCAGTGTGTTCCTTGGCCAAGTGCGACTCCAGGAACATGATATCAACTGTCACGTACGCCTATGCTTCACATACAGACACGTGATAGTTTTGGCGAAAATAAAATGCTAACTCAGGAACAAAAAAAGCTAGAATGTTGAAACGTTAGGGTGATGTTGCCTACTCATGTACGACCAAAAAATTTCAAATTTAGCTCCCTCGAACCGCCTAGGCCTGCAGCACTGAAGTGCAAAAGTCTTGGCGGGAAACCTGCTAACTTGGGGAAGAGGAAAGTTAGAAAGCTGAAATTTTAAGGAAATGCCCTCTACTTATGTGGGACTAAAAGATTTCAAATCCAGCTTTTCTCGTGGGTTCCTCACGTGCAAGCAACTTTCCGTTTGTCTGGTGACTATATTCGACAGCTACAACTGACACACCACACAACTGCACAATTAATTTCCGGAATTTCGAGGATCAGTATGTCACAAATTCTAGTTATTGGGCTGTTTATACAAACCTTATCATTATTTACGCTAAAGAGTGCACAAGATAAATGTAACGCAACAACCATTAATACAGTTAACGATTTGACTGCTTCAAGTCTACTGCAAAAACGCATAATTGCACCGGCAGGCCTGGTGCGTTCCAGTCTGGGTTTTCAGTTCCTTTTCAGAATTTTTCATATAATAAGGAAAACTGCTTTGTCCTAGATAATTTCTACATTTCTGTGGTTTCGAGGAGAGATAGTTCCCCTTTTCTCCTTTCCCCCTTCTCTCTTGTCCCCACCCTCATTTGTTCGCATCTAAAATCTCATGCCGTCGTGAGTAGGTCAGTGAGTCAGTGCCCTCCGTGCATTTACATTTTATGTCTGCCTTAAAATGTTTCAAAAAAAATGGGCTTTTTTATAAAGCTGGAGCATTTTAGCAGCTGGAACGTTGTGCCAGTAAACCAGCAACAGCATCCGTACGACGTTTCTATCGTTTTGTTGAAGTGCTAGAAGAAGAACTAGCTGAGAGTCGTTGTAATCAGCCTGATAACTTCTTGGAAATCCTATTCTCATCGGTGCTATCGGTGGAACTTGTCATCCAAGCACTCATTGGCTTGATCCTCGTATTTTCATCGCTTGAGCCATCCGTTATCCAAAGTATCGGACAGTATCTTCGCACCGTTTTCGCATCACTTCTTGAAGCGGCTAAAAAAGGTTACATTTTTATGCCCTTTCTGAAAAAGTCTCAAAATTCCGATTCAGGCATAGTTCATCGTGATGTGAGAGGGGGAAGAGGAAAGACACGAATCGAAAAAAAACTTAGTCGACAGCGCACCAGCTGCCGGTGCGAGGATGCGTTTTTTGCGCAGTTCTCTCGCAGATTTTTGTCGCTAATGGCACTGTTTTTTCCGGCAGATGCCTCCGGCTAAGAGAATTGAGAGTGGCCGTCACGACTGTTAGATATTATTACAATGACGCCCAGTCCACACCCAAAAATTCAGCATTATGCTTCGGCTGCGGAGTTACATCAAATTTTATGTATTCGCACGTGAGAGGCAACGCGGACACAGTTTTCACGTAGTTTGCCTAAGCACGATCCTGGATTACATTCAGAAAATTTCAGCACCCCACTTGCTCCGATTGCGGAGTTACGTAAAATTTCACATGTTCGTATACATATGGCAACGTGTATGCTGTCTTTGCATACGCTTGCTTAAACACAGTCCTGGGTTGCGCTTAGAAAACTTCGACGCTCTAACTGCTGTAGTTGCGAAGTTGCGTCAAATCTCACGTGTGCGTACGTGGAATTCATTTTTACGTCCACCTGGTCAGACACCGCCGTCGATTTGCTCAGGAAATTCCAGTCTTCTAGCTGCTTCAATTCTGAAGTTTTCACGTTTCCATACATGAGATGCAGAGGGGCTAAAAAGCTCAATTTACTTTTGCGTGAACGTCAGTGGGCGGCAAGTAATGCTGAAAATTTACAGCTCTTTACAACTTGGTCAGTTTAAATATGTAGTTGACGCGATGCCAGTTTAAACTTCGACGTGTGCGCACTTGAGACCCAGAGAGCGCGTGAAGGCTGGGTTTGAAATCTTTGAATCAGACGTGGCCAAAGGACATCTCTGTAAAGTTACAGCCTTCTAGTTCACGCCGTTCCCAATAAAACTTTCACGTATGTGAGAACAACGTGGGCGAGCGAAATAGAGGCCCGTACATGCGTGTAGATTAAGTTGCCAAAATTTCAGCCTTGTAGCTTTTGTGGACCTCGAGATGAAAACTCGGTACAGACGCACACGCAGACACACATATATACACAGACAGCCCCTGGACAATATGCGTTTTTGCATTGCATAGATGCAAAAAACGCATAAAAAGCGGCAATGCAAATGCTCTGGATGGGCATTGGGCACTAACTGGGGATATATTCCTCAGAATCAAAGAATCTAGCAAAGTTACGTTCTAGCATAAGCATACTTTTATCTGAAAAATTTTTATAGCGATCAGCGTGCAACATACATACACACACACGTACACATAAAAATGGAAAAGGAAATTTGTAATTGGGTTATTCTACTGAGATGGAAAGTGGTAAAGCAATGAAATAAATACAAGCCCATAACGAGTGCATTTTGCGCGGCCAGCCGAATTTTGGCGTTTCACACCGAAATCATGCGTTGTTGATCACCTCTTCTTCATTTCTCGTGTTTAAGAGCTTTTTTCGATTACAGATAATTCGACAGCATTCGATTGTGCTCTCTCTGCCGAGTTCATACATCATTTTTTCGCATCTGTGCTTTCGCTAGACACTGCTGAAATTGTCTTCGATCGCCACAGCCTTACCACTCTTCTAAAAATCTTCAAAGAAAGTTTGTTTTGCAGCCATTCTCTAATGAAATTTGTTTATGGATAGTGTATTGCACTGGCGACCACCTTGAGTAAACTCCCATGGCTTTTCTCGAAATGAACGAACTTGAGGGGTTTTTTACTACACTGCCGATCTAAGTACATGATTATTCTCCAGGACTCCAGCGGCTCGGTTGCTAGAATTCAACGAAGACGCTTTCTTCTTGTCCCTCTCCGTACGCTCTGGCCTCTCCCTCCCCCTGTGTTCTGTAAATCTGTCTGCTCGACGACATCTCTCCATCATATTAATACAAATTAAATATTGCTATATTTCACTTTTTTATGTGTTTTGTGCTGTGTAACAGCACTACAAAACGCATATTGTTACAGGGTTGTCTGTGTGTGTCCGCAGCAGCTTGTCCGCAACTTTCAACTCGTGAACCACAAAAGCTAGAAGGTTGAAAATTTGGGGGATTGTTTCCTACCCACGTGTGACCCCACAAATTTAAATTCAGCCTCCCCGTACCAGCGAGTACCACGTACGGCCCCATGGAGGTTTGGAGGGGTGAAGGCGGTAAAATTTTTGTCTCGGGAACCATGGAAATTAAAGGGCTGAAATTTCAGGGTAATGATCCTCTGCCCACGCATGACCTTGTGAATCCAAATTTTGCGTTACCGCGCTCTCGGTATCACCCACGGTCCCACGAAAATCGTGACGGGTAAATTATCTTGGGAACCACAAAAACTATGAAGCTGAAATTTTAAGTTAATGACCCCTGCCCACGTACGATTTTGTAAATTCAAATGCAGCGTCCTCGCGCGCTCGGGTATCAGCTACGGCTCCGCAAAAATTTTGGCGGAGAAACTATTATCTCAGGAACTGTAGAAGCCAAGAATCTGTACTTTTGCGGTAATGCCGGTGCGTGAGATTTCATGTGTTGGTGCATGGAATCTTTGACTGTTTTTCAACATTTCAACTATTTTTGCACAGAATAAAGTATAATGCAGTGAAAATCATTAACGGGCAACCATTCGATGGACGAATTGCACAAAACGCATGATGCGCGTTGCTATTTATTTAAAGTTTACAAAGCATTCCGATCAATAATCTCTGTACCCGTTGACCCCATTCATTGCACAATATGATTAACTTTATTTGGCAAAATTTTGCGTTTCTTTGCACAAATCTCTCACTTTTCTAACACAGTTCA